GATGCTCATCCATCACAAGGTTACCCTCTAGCATTTCACCGTGCTTCCCTGACAATTCACTAGTACACTGTTATATCCCTGGGTGGAGAGAAACGCTTTGAGAGTATTTGTGTTTTGTATAAGAACAGAACATGTTGAGCTACCCAGGTCTTGAACCCAGACCTCTCTCGACTTGCAGTCAAGTGCACTGACCATCAGGCCAAATCACTCCTAATTTTAGAGCAGCCATGTAATTCAGTAACTGTGTTTGATGACTTCACAGTTGAACACAAATATCAATGTTTTTGCAGGGTGGTTCCCCTTGGTGAAGCCAGTGTGATAATTGCAGTTTCATCAGCTCACAGGATGAATTCTCTTGAAGCTGTACAATACTGCATAGATACTTTAAAAGCAACAGTACCAATTTGGAAAAAGGTACAATTAAAATCCATTTATTTCCTCCTCCTTCCTCACATTTTCATATAAAGACAGGTCAAAGCAAGGCTGAGAATGGAAATCATTGCAAAACTTAATATCATTCACCAAGTATCAATGTGAAAATAAAATATTTCAAATATTTTCCAGAGTCATAATCATGTAGTCTGTTTCTGTGGGGTTAAGACTTTTTTAGAGAAACTGAAACTTTACTAATTATGTTGAATAATGGTGTGAGTCCAAAATGTTATGTCCAAAAGTGTCTGAACTTCATTTAAATAATTTGCTTTAGAATGTAATACCATCATTCCATTACACCTATGAGGGAATCCCCACCTAGAATTAGAATTATAGAATTTTGAACATTTTTAATTTACTTAATATTGTACCTTTTCTTGTAATTTTTAGGAAGTCTATGAACAAGGTGAACCAAGTTGGAAAGAGAATTCAGAATGTTTTTGGGCAAAAAAAGCCAGGTCATCAAAACAGTCTACAGTGTAACAAAGAGCAGGCAAACCATCTGCTAAAATAATTGAGCACTTCATTACAAATAATTACAAAGATCATGTTTGCACTAAAGAGTTCTTCCATCCTCACTTAAAACACAAACATCCAAGCCACACATCGTAATGGATACTGATTTTACTCATGCTGAACTTTTGATTTTATTCTTTTCTGTCTTCACTGACCAGTGTCAAATCTTCATTTCAGAGTCAATTCATTGCATTGTGTAAAAAGCATAAGTAAAATTAATGAAGTAAGGTATAAATGTCTTATGTGAGACACCACTGAATGCTAAAAAGAAGTAAATATTTTGAAACAACATTCAATTCAATGTATAATCAATATACATGGCATTAGGCATAATCATGTTTTACACAAGACAAGACTTGTGATTGAACCTTTTCACTGGGGTACAAAACAGGTGGAATACATCTGGTCATTTTCAGACGATCTGTTTACTAGTTTGCCATACACAGAACAAGAATTACATTTCTAAATTTACTACCAACAAAAGGTGTTTCAAAACATCGAAAAACCAGATTACAAAGTTCCTCTCTACCACATGAAAAGGAATGTGATACACAAACACAAGAGAATAAAATGTGCAATAATAACAAATAATGTAGACTGCGACCTCTGATTTTGTTTGTTTGTTTGTTTGTTTCTTCTTATTTAAAGTTTAATATACTAGGCAGTGGTGTACATTTTTAAATGCGGGGGGGGGGGGGATTTCTCAATGTGGTTTCTCCATCTCTCCAATGATTATTATTATTTTCCTCATATCCTCATTTGGTTTATATTCATCATATCCCCATGGCTCATATATCACTCAGACCACTGGACAATAAACTCAGAGAAAAAAGGTTTGAGAAAAGAATAGATCAGTACTGGCCAATCAGGAACTTCCTTTCACCATGTCAAAAGACGGCAACAATTAGCAGACACAGAAGTGTTCCCCAGCTACATTTCCATTTTTATGTTCCATTCTAATGTGAGGAAATGTACTGTGATAGAATAAAAATGGTTTCATCTACTTGCAACTCACTCTGATCCAACCTATGGACAGAGAAAGTCAAACACAATTTTAGTGCCACATTGGCTGCATTCAACATTGAAGAAATAAGAAATTTGTTCTTTTCTTAGCAAATGTTTAATATGGCATGTTTGATTAATCTGAGAATGATGCATATTTTGTGCTCTGAATTGTAAAAAATGGTGGTCCCCTGTTCACATTGCACATAGAATTGTTTTCAACAAACATCCAAGTTGAATGCATGCAAGAAAATTACCAACAGGTAAACTGCAAAGTAGGTTCAGTTTCCTGCACTTTCTCTATTTGGAAATCATCCTCTGTCAACACTGAGCCACAAAATAATACACTGGTCTCAACTGCATGCTATTTGTTGAAAGGATCTCAAGCATGGTGAAAACAAACAGTGGAAAGACCCTTGCTTTTGCTCAACAGCTTTGACTTGACTTACTTGGCAAGAGTAAGTTTCAGTTTCTTGAGCTGCTCTTGTTCTGCTGGAATAATAAGCTCCTGAAGCTCAGCTATAGCCTCTTCCGATGTCTCCTCGCCATGCTGAGCCTTCAGTGTGTTTATTGTTGCCTCCACTCTCTCTTTCTTTTCAATTAAACGTCTAAAAAAAGATGACTGAGCAAGACTTAGTTGGTAGAAAACTGGGTTCTACATTACCAACTGGCAGAAAATGACATATTTATGTTTGTACCAAGTTGTTCTCATAAGTGCAAGAGGAAAAGAGGTTCTCTCTTTCACTCTGATGCTACAATGGTACTGTTTACTATTTTTCTCTGTTTTACACAATGAGCATTTGGAACAGGTTATCACTCCTGCCTCCCACACTTGTAACACACAATATCTTGATGCACAGGAAGAAGCCAGTATGATTTATAGATTTTAATAACTGCTGAAACATCACAAAAGAATCAATAGTCCTTTTTACAGTTGTAAACTTGGTGGCCAAGCCTTTGAACAGGAGTGAGGCTAAGGGTGACCCTGTTGTGATAGAGACCTGTATCTAGTTAGCATGATAACAAAGTAATTTGCATTTGAAAAGCAGCAACATCTCTATCATAACAAGGTCACCCTAAGCCTCACTCCTGTTCCAAGGCTTGGCCACCAAGCCCATAACTGTAAAAATTAGTATTGGAAGTGATCTTCCATACCTGTGCTCATGTAGTTCAGTTTCTCTTCTGCTCATCAGGTTCCCAAGTGCCTGTAAAAAAAAGAGCAATAAATATATTAACTAGCATTGCATCACAACTCCCTATCAAATATTGTATTTGATACAAACCACTTTAAAAATAGTTTGGATATATCAACAAAGTTGAAATGGTAAATTGGCCACCATAACGATTACAAAAGCTGACGTTTCGAGCGTTAGCCCTATTCGCTCCGACGAAGGGCTAATGCTCAAAACGTCAGCTTTTGTAATCATTACAGTGGCCAATTTACTTTTTCAACTTTGTTGATATATCCAAATTATTTTGTTACCCCCACCGACGCAGCCCCAAACAGTTACTTTCGAAACTATCAGCCTTTTTTCACTTTAAAAATAGGCCAAGAACAAGTAATGAAATGATACTAAATGAAACAAAATCCTTATTAATAATAAAATGCAGTCTCAGTAATTTACAATCCACACTGGAGTGTTTCCTGCTTAATTAACCCTTTCACTGCCATGAGTGACCACGACAGAATTTTTCCTTACAATATCAATACAATATCAAGCAAACAAGTGTCGAGAATACAGCAAAATATCAACAAGGAGAGTTTTAATTGATCCAAAAGCAAATTCTCCAAACTTACATGATAAGAATTGTATGGCAGACAGTAAGGAGAATTCCCAAGGAGATCTTGGCAGTGAAAGGGTTACAATAACTTTAACCCTTTAACTACCAAGATCTGATTGTTAACATCCCTCTACCTGCTACACATTTAGTTGTAACTAAGTTATGAGGATTTGGTGTTAGTTAAAAGAAAAAAAATGTTTTACCTGAGTGATAAGTTAGAGTATTCTCATTACCTGTTTGCTGGATTTTGTATGGATATTATATAGAGAAGTTGCAGGTTAATCACTTCTGGGAGTCTAAGGGCCAAGAACTGTTCTAAATTTTTATATGAATGTTACTGTGTAAACACTTGTAGTTTGAGTGGCAAGTTAGAGTTTCATTTTCTTTTAAATTAGCTCTTGTAATCAGATTTTCTTGTTCAGTTGCTCACACTTCATTTGTTACAATGTGGTGACATTAAGAGCTGCTGTTATCAGTGTCAGCAGGTAGTTTAAAGGTAATCTGATTGGTCACCTGATAAGACTTTTCGAGCAGCATTCTACTAACTTGTGGAAGATTCACAGAAAACAAGTAAACTGTTCTTGATGGGGCATAGTCAGAGGCCCGAGGGATTTCCTGTTAACAGAGAAAAACACAATGTCATGAAAACAAACCTGATTGCTTATTAAAAAGGATAAACAAACAATTTTTCTAACCTGTAGTGCAATAAACCTCTCTGCAAATAGTTTGTACAGCAGCTCCTTGACATCTTTAGATGGAATCATGGCCAACTCACCAATCTGCAAATTGAAATTAATTGAAATCAAAATGATTAAAAATTAATTTTTTAGTGCCAGGGTTCAAGATATTGGTGTTTCAGAAGCCTCTTCACTGGAGGTATTATGTTGTAGTAGATTTTATGGCTTACTCACTGTTTGGTTTGGAAATTTAGCCACTAATGCCTGGTCAGTCAGTTAATTGGAGTTAACGAAGTATGTCAGTCTTACTACATCAAGGCTATTTTGCACTTAGGAGACTAAGTTCAAAATATACCATTCACAACAATAGTACAAGAAGGTGTGAAAATAAATTGTTCCACCTGTTTCTGTTCCATGTGTTTCTTAAGAAGTAACAACCTGAAGATTCTAAAGCATCTTGAACCAAACCTGAAGTTCAGTGAAATAGAAAAAAACAATAATACTAACCTCAAATGAGAAGAAAAAGATACACCACCCTGCTTATATCCTTTCAGAAGACTACCTACCATTTCATTATTAATAGTAATGAAATTGCTTAATATGATAATTATCTAGTAACCTTTACAACCTAATTTAAGTATACATACTCTCTATATTGTACATTTCCTAAGGTGCTAACAAGGAAGAATTTAATTAACAGTCAAGAGCCTCCTTAGTTGGAGATCATTTCCTTAATTTTTGTGTCTTGATTCTAGGGAGGGCAATAAAAACTGTCTAAATTCCAAAGAAACAACTTTTATTTACCTTTCTTGAACAATGGATTCAATCACATTTTGGCACAAGGTATCCACACACTTTTGCATATCTATAAAACTGTCAAGGGAGACTATTCTTCCACAAATGCAAATTCAACTAAAATACTCCAAACAACACATTCAAAAATGGATCATTTAATACAGTAAGCCTTAGCCACATTTTTCTGTTTTTGTTGTTGCTATTGTTGTTGTCAAATTAAATGACCTACTTTTTTTAGCTAGGATTTCATCGTTTGAAAAAGATACTTATACAATACATTCCTCCTCCACTCTCTCCTGTTTTGGAAACCAAATTGTCCTGAAAAAAAAAATTTTCTTTTAAAAACTTATAGTAAGAGCATTAGTAGAGGACTGAACTGACGGGTGTTATAACATAACCAAAGTAAAGCGTGTGCTCTGATTGGTCAATTTAGCGTCCCCCATTTGCCTATGGGTGTACGCTGCTGACGTGAGCAAATGCAAAGACTATTTTTCCACGCGCGCTTGTTTTTTCTGGTCACGTAAGATTTGTTAAATAAAAGGGAACTCTTTACTAGCTACAATGTAGCAGTGTTATGTTACAAAACAAATGGTAGGCACCACAGCATACACTTTTGAGTTATGAATGCACTTGGGAGGTTTGCTAAGCACTCAAGAAGCTAGAGTTGCTCTCGGCTATCGCCTCGAGCAACTCTTACGCTTCTTTCATGCTTAGCAACCTCCCGCTTGCATCCATAACTCAATAGTATATGCTATGGTGTTCACCATTTGTTAATTGGACGACTCTCTTACCTTCTCATCAGTCAATAGTGAAAGATACTGCACAATCTGTGCCTTCTCCATCTTGGGAGTTACAGACAAATTCTGTGAGATCTGTTGATTGATATTATACAAAGAACACAGTGCTGAATTTTTAAATTCAGAAAAGAAAAACAATTGAGACAGCAGCTTTGTACCTCATGCAGAGAAACTGTTTGCAATGTTGGTGATAAGGGATCCCTTGCCAGCTCACTCAATTTCAACATAGTCTTGACAATCTCCCCTGCAAACTGAGCAGCACAAAATGAAAGCATTTGATTTACTATTTATAGAATGTAATCAATTCAGAAATTAAATAATCTAAGACAATCTAGAATGTTGTAGCTTTTCAAATCTAATGCTATCCAAGGGTTTTTGGGGCAAGTCTTCAATGACTTTACAAGTTAACAAAAAGACAAATAAAAGTAATTACCAGTATTTCTGCCATTTCCTGGCTTGAGAGAGTGTAAATATATAAACATATCATAAGCTGTAAAAATCAATTGTAAATTTCCCAAAGAGTTCTACTTACTTTATCAACTTTCTTGGTTACAACTGTGACAATATTCTAGGAAACAATGTTTAAAATTCATTTCTTAGTTTTGAGGAGAAACAAAGGTGGAAAATATGGTCATATTGAGGGTCAGATAGAAATTTCTTTATTAGCAATTATCCCTGAGTAACTGAGGTTAGGATGGCATGGCTTTTATTATTTATGTTGATTTCAAGAACAGGCCAATTTACCTCCACAAGGCTGATGAACAACTAATAACAAATAACTTTCAATAGAGCTTAAAACCTTAATCTAATAGTTGAGTCACCCACAAGAACAGTTTGTAGAATTTTCAGTGATAATTAGCTGTGTTAAGGTGGCTGGCACCAGTTTTCATCTTTTTGATGGTTTGTAACTTTGAAACAATACAACAAAAAGACTGACCAAGGCCAGTTGAACACTTTTATAGGGTTGAATTATATAATCATTAGCTAACCAAAAATAGGTGTCATTTCATCACTAGTAGTTTCCATGGCAATGCTTTCAAAGGATTATTCAGATGCATTTTTTAGCTTATGGCTCAAATAATTTGAAAACTAACTTGGTGACCCCGTGATTTTTCTCAGTGATTGCTTTCGGCACTTGAAAAGGGAAATGCAGAAAGATTTTAAAAAAATTCTTTGGAGCGGAATTTCAGGAAATCTAGAAAAAGGCATATTTTCATGCATCACAAATGTTTTTCCGTAGACTTTTCTAATTTTTTTTCTGATGATTCCTTTCAATGTTATTATCATATTGGAACAATAAAAAGAAGGGCTGACCGTATTTGTTTTCATGCAATAGCTTTCATTAGTTTAGCAATTCCCAGGCGCATTCTCGCGCATTTAAAAATCTGGATTCTATAAGATTGACATTTGCTCAATGACATGATGTGTTAAAGCTACCGCTGACTATCGTATGTGTTTGTGCACACACTTACAACCTGATGTTCACAGACGTTTGCAGCTTAGAAAATCTTTCAATAGCCATCAAAGACAGCCTCCTGGGCTCATCCTAAAGGACCAACTCAAAACTTCTGGCTATATTATATTATTTTCCTTGAAGTTTTACAGTCTTCTTCCACTTCAGGCAGATTATCCTTCACCTGAGTTGTGCTTTTTTCACTGTCGCAAGATTTCATATTGGTTGGATATTTCGTTTAGATGTGAAGCAACCTTTATGTCTCCAAGAATCATCTTCTTTATCTTTGTTTCCTTCTCCTGCTTACATAGTGGCCATTCAACACATCAAATACACGCTGTTAGCTAAACTTCTTACAAAGGTAGAAACTAGCCTCACGCTGCCATCTTTGGTTTGAATTTTCATCTTTTAATCTCGTGCTTCTTTCGTATGTTTCTCTCAAGACTGATGCAAGAGTGATCTGTTCCCCACGTGAGGAAACTAGTACTAGCCACCTTAAGGTGGTATTGGAGTGAAGACTATATAATGCAATAATGTCTTACCTCATCAATGAAATGCTGGTGAAACCTTGCAAAGTTCACTTGCCATAAAATTCCATCATCACTTAATTCCTGAATAGCAGTGACAAAAATTCAAAAGGGTTAGAGTGATTGTCTAAATGTGGATGATGAAACCCTGGTCCACCTGAGAACTTTGAGATAATATACACTATGTGCAGTCTGTTACCCCTATATTACCATTTATTAATTTTCTTATCACATTATCACCATTATCATTATCATCATCAGATGTAACTTGGTTATCAAAGATCTTGCTGTCCAAAGACCAAGACATACAATATCAAAACAAAAAGAATCTTCTCAGTTGAGGAATTCATAAATTATTCACAAGAATTTTTGTTGTTTCAGTTTTGTTTTACTTACAGAGCCTTTGGCACTGGCAGTGTAGCTAAAATGAAACAAACAAGAAACAAATCACACTTGCTATAGTCTTTAAATCAAACATAAGTATCATCCATCATAGAAACCATTAATCACAATTTAAAAGGTGTTAACCAACAGTTATCAAACATTAGTACTTACCTTGCCCCTGTTTTTTGTCTCTTTGTTGTTTGACCCTCATCAGCAATACTTCTTTTCCGTTTTGAGCCATGACCTACACACAATGATACTTCATGTCATGTGGGGAGTGTGGTGGGGGAAAAACATCCCCGGTGAGGATTGTTCATGAAGCTAAGTGAATGAGGGAGGAATTGCATTATTTTAAAGATTATGTAAGATTTCTGCACAGCTCCATACTTAAGCATATAGTTCCTGTACAAAGAAAACAATGGTTAAAACAATAGGCTAAGATTGCCTTCGGGACTACGGTTTTGTTTTACAATAGTGTGGGTGCTTACAAGATAAAATACAGTAAATACAAAAAAGTTTTTTCAAAACCTTGCAAGTTCATTCCAGGTGGCAGAGCATAGAGGTCATCGTCATTATAACTACTGTTGCCCATGCTCTGTTCTTCATTTCTCGTTGGCTTCAATCTTTGAAGAAAATGGTTCTTCACTAGATTAGCAAAGCAAACTTGAATCTCATCCTCATCTGAATCAAGATTATCCTCTTCTAAATGTCTCGCGACTTTGTCCACAACTGTGCTCATGATAGCAGAACCATGCTGGAAAATTTCATCAATAATCAACTCGCCAGTGTACCCAAATATAGATTTCACACAATAAATGTACCGCGGAGCACGGAGACGAAAAAGGATATTAGAAATCAACGCACTGTACAACGTAACGTTTCGCTTGTTCACTTCAAATGTGACAAAATGATGTTGAATGAGGCAGCACAACGCCTTCTGTACTTGGTCCCGAGGTAGTTTAGTGTCCCGAATTATATCCTTCAGTGGACGAGGTCCTTTAGCGATACAAAACGTCCCGACCTTCTCTACGATTTCTCCATAATGCTCTCTCAAAATATAGGACGCGGTTCGTTTCTGTTGAACCGACATATGAATAAAAACCTGCAAATCAATCACGGCTCTTTGAATGTTTATACGCGCATAACGATTGTCAGCATGTCAGCAGTTCACCATTTTGGTACAAGATAGTCCCGCGATAAATTCAACCAGCGTTAGTTTTCAGCGGCATAGGGCTGTGATTGGTTTAAAATGTAACACTCAGCCAATGAAAATAAAGTGAGAATGTATTGTTTGAGAAGTAAACAACACTTGCGTTAACGACTTCCATGCAAATTCCTCTTTGTATTGAAATTCATCGATTAACTGAGCTTCACAGGCGATAGAAGGGAAAGGTGAGCTATCAACTTATCAGTTGAAAATCATTAACTACGTGGCTGCATGAAATCCAAAATGGAACATCGATCATTCATGGCATGCGCTAATTGAGAATCAGACAAGATCAATTAGCCTGGGGTGCCGGAACTCAGAAGTGTTAACATCATGAAAGTCATATTTAACCAAGAATTAGCCCGGATAGGAATCTTAAGGAAAACTCTCCGATGTGCAAGGGGTACAGCTTACATAACACCGTGAGTTTACGCACTGTCCTTTGGTGTGTTACCAAATTATATCGCTTGTGAAATAACAATGTTGTGTTGTTCAAGAAAGATCAGGAAGACGTTTCTATGGACACAAGGTTGCGTGTCTATTTGGTTTTGTAATTTGTGTGATAATTAGCAAACGATTCAAATGCACAAATTGTTTTCACTATGGGAAAATCTTGAGGGCTTTTCTTGGTGGAATTAGATATAAACCGACTCTCCGCTCTTAAAAAATTTCACCTGATCTATCATATCAGAAACTAGTATAGTATTAAGAAAAAATATCACACCTCGGCTAAATTGTTCAGGAGGCAGGGAGTAGAGTAAGGGGTGCTGTAGCTTAAGTTGTGAGGATAGATGTCATTTTACTTTCACTTTTTTCTACTGGGCAAATCTTACTTTTTCAACTCCTTTATGTGACTAGTTTGCAAACATCCATGGACATTGCTGGAAAGAGCCCCTCAAATCAATTAAGTTCAGGGTTGCCACGGTCAGGGAAAAGTCAAGAAATTTTGCAAAAAGTCAGGGAAAATCTTAGTTCTCGTCAAAGTCAGTGAAAAGTCAGGGAATTTTGTTTTGAGGGTTCCACAAAGGTTGTGAAGTAGTCGATCTAGTGTAGCAAATCGGAAAGAAACTTAAAAGCGATGGAGAAATGTAAAAGTGGATTTGGCCTGTTTGGTAATTAATTTAATTCAAGGTCAGTGAAAAATGTTTTGAGGTCAGTGAAAAGTCAGGGAAAAGTCAGGGAATTTTTGGGTTCTGATAGGTGGCAACCCTGAAGTTGCTGTTGTCAGCTTTGTTGATGAAATTTTACAGACTGATCCATGAATTCTATCTGTCTATTCAAATATTAGCACTCAAGTTTTGAACTCCACAACCATTTTTCTAGGGAAGGGTCTCACTTGAGAAACAGTGTTCACGGTCTCAATGTCAGTGGCTTAATTTATGTCATATTCCTCTTCCTAAATTCAGCCTCTCATCAAGCTGAGTTAAGACCAGTCCACCAAAATTAATCGTTGCAGAATACCTTGATAATTGCCCGTTTGAACAAGTCCTTTATGGCCACTGGCACAATACAATGCCCAGGATGTGGTCAGAACATTATGCAAGGTGCTGCATTCGAATGCAGCTTTAAACCAAGTTCTGAAACTGCAACACGTCAAAAGACTTTTGATGTTCCTCAGGAGAGACACTGGCTATGTATGGAGTGCAAGTAAATTGTGGAAAATCGCTATGGTGATTTATCAACTGTGACATCAGAAGATGCTTACACTTTTCTTTATAGTGTTAGACTGAAGAAGAGCTCCAATTGCTGCAATTCTTGCGCAGTTATGTAGCATAACCCTGTCATCAGCTCTTATTGCTAGTGAAAAGCAATTCTATCACACATAGCTGGGTAAAGTAATTCCTCATTTGGTAGAAATTGACAAAAATGTGACTTCCATGTATTGTGTATGCCCTCCAAGCTCCACATTAACCAACTAGATATTCAAACCAAAAAAATGACAACTCAAAAGCAACAGCAAGCTCAAGTGTTCACAGATTTATTAATGCTGATCCATTTGATGTCCATTAACAACAGAGATGGCAGAATTGCATTGATTGTTTTCAGCAATCTCTGTTGTCAAGAATTGTTATTGATATTTCATAGTTAAAATTTTAGAAGTTACACACATCCCAGAATCTTAACTGTACAAATGACACTTACAAAATTCCTTGCTCAAAGAGAACCACACATCTGTTGCCAGCTAGGACAACATTGTAATATTTTCTCTTAGTTGCTAAGGTAATGTGATTCTAAGTACAACAGACTGCCTGTTCTGCCTGTTCTATTTTTAAAATATGTGCTGTTCAAATTTGTATTTTTGTCCGTGTTTCTTTAAATGGGAACCCTTTTGACGAAATACACAAAATGTGACAAATGAATGTCCATTTCAAGCTTACAAAGTTATTTTAAAATATTATCCTTATCATTGCTTGCCATAGTTCTGTATGTATAGTATCATGCCCTGTTTGAGAGTTCTCAATGACGTCCCTTCTCTTCTCACAACATAGTTTCAAGTGGAATCTAGGATGGTTTTTCTGTTTTTAAACAACTTTACTTGTATGATGATATATTTATGCATATCTGTTGGGTATCTTAACAAAGAAACAAAGACAAAACTTTTTCTTGTGTCCACATCTGTACTACTGTGTGGCTAAGTAAAATACCAAGAGCCATTGCATATTGGCAACCTGTATATGTATCTTATCATCCAAGCGCGAGGGCAGTACTGGCAGAATGTTGGCCAGAGGTCTTGACAGTACAGACCGAGCGCCGTACAAAAAAGACAGAGGGTCAATATTCTCCCAGTACGGTCCCGAGCAAGCTTGGTTAATAAGAGATTTATTATACGACTGAAGTTCAAAGGGGCACAAGTGCAGTATCATTTGGGACAGTGCCTGGTCCAATACTGAGAGAATATTGACAATATTGGCAATAGAGCATTTTGATTGGTTGATTTTAGTTATTGGCCCTCTGACTGCCCGAGTCGTGTAATAAAGTTACTTATTATAAGTATGGCAAACTTTGAACTGAACATCAGCTTCCTGAAGATGCCATAGATGATGACGACTGCATTTGCAAATAAATTCAAGATAAATACTGTGCAAATATTCTGCCAAATAAATTACTCTTTACGAGAATCTTAAGTGTACATGATGACCAAAATTTAGATGTATATCCTATTAAACTTGACATTAAATAAATATGAGAAATTAATGAAGTCATTATCAAATTACTGGACAGACTTATTTTTAAATTCTGTGGATCCTTCCCTTGCTGGAGATGAAGGTGCACTTTTAGAGCCTTTCAGCTCCATCTTACTAGAAGGCCTAAGAAATGATTGAAGTGAAGATCTCCTTGATGTGCGGGAACCAATACTGTTTTTCGTCCACGCTACACCTGCTTGAGGTCTCATTATATGAACTGCTTCACCTAAACTTGGATGCAGTGAACTGTTCACTACCATACTAATGTTAGTTTTGTCTGATTCCTTATCGTGCCTAAGGGAGCCTTCTGAGTACCAAAAATCACTTGTTGAGGCTTGCATTGTGTTAACTTCAGTTTCAGCCTGAGAAGAATTATTGCCAATGACACCCATCTGTGGAATTTCTAGACAAATTTCAGAGCCTTCTGTTAGCAATCGTGAGATTTCCTCCACGTCATCTGTCAAAAACATTCTTGTAGATGCTTTATTTCCTAGAACACTAAGAGAAGCTTGTGAGTTTCCAATGTTGAAAGAGTTTTCAGCTGAAGGTTCTAGTGCCATTCCACTTGAGCGTCGTCTGGTTCCTTCATTGACACTTTCAGAGACTGTTTGAAGTTCAGCCTCATTACGAGAAGGAGTTGGTTTGTCCTTTGATGCAACATGAAGAGATCCCTTTGAGGAAAAATTAAAGTACTGACTACCAACATTATGCAGGGATCTAGTGGTGGCATCACGCTGGAGAAAGTTATGTATTAACCAGTTCACTCTGTAAAGTAAAGGAAATATAACAACACTATCAGAAAAGTAACATATCCCTTTTTTTTTTTATTGAACACTTCAGAATACTTGTTAGATTTTCCAGATGTTCAAAACAGTCACTACATGATAAAAAGCTAAGTGAAATAAAAAACATCAGCTAGGAACTTATTCTGTATTAGATGACAAAAACATTTATGATAAACAATAATGAAAATTATTTTAACTACTTGAATATTTATATATCCATATAAATATTCCTGCGAAGGATCGTGCACATATACATATATATCCATATTGTTAGCTATATAATAAGCACTTTCTAACCTCACAGGAGACTCCACCATAACCATGTGGCCTGCATCTTGAATGACCTCTAACGATGAACTGTATATTACCTATTACAGAAAGAACCAAATGGAGTAAATAATTAATATAAAAGCCTGAAGGACTGATTCACTAACTTTGTTGCTCAATCACTAACCTCTTGCATCCACTGTTCTTCCTCAAGAGTAACAAATTTATCCTGTGCACCATATATCAACAATGCTGGCACCATTAGTTCCTGGTGATATGACTCATCACCATCTTCCCACACCTGAAAAACATGCGACTTTATGTTAAACACTGATCCACAGAGAGACCTCATTATAACTGAGATCAGTCTATTGCATTAATTGTTCTTAAACTACAGTGGTTCTGATACAATGCCATTGTCCGGACATGGTTTGATGCTACTCTGGTTTAAGGATTTAATTAATATAACTAGAAAATTACTATTCATAGACCCAATGTTGCGACACTCCAGTCTCGTGCTTTCATCAGGGTTGATCTAATCAAGATGCAACAAGAGGCCCTTTTATATGCTCACTAACTAGCTGCCCTCCAAACAAAGATACAGGTGGTAATGTTGATTTGTGGTGATAATTTTAGAATTACTGACCTGTCCTGCCATGACAGCTTTCATTACAAAAGGTGGAGCACTAAAGGCTTTAACTTTCCTCCTAAGCGATCTTGCTCTCACACTATTGTAGGCCCTCCTGAAAAATTTTAAGTCATAAAATTTTTAACCAGACATACCTGGTATGTTATTGTGTGACAAGAATGTAACTTGTAATTCTTTACTCCAACTATAATGGCCTTCCTTGACTTAATGGTTTTAACGAGAGCTCTGTTTCCTTTCTAAGTAATTTTGCCATCTTCAGTATGTAATTGGGAGCTTGGAGTTCAAGATAATTGTTGAAAAATGTTTGTTACTGCTGAGTACCTACATTTCCCAACTTATAGAAAAAATCAGAATAGGTTATTTTTGGTCACATTGAAGATGTTTATTTTACAAGACTAACCTCTCATAGACAGACAAAAACACAGGTTTGATACAAGACAGAAGAAGTGTTGGTAAGCAGAACATGTCACAAGTACCAACACCCACAAGTGGTGTAGGACCACCACCAGAAATAAGGACCATCTTGGACACCAGACGAGCACGTTCACATGCAATTACTGCACAAAATGATGCCCTGAGTAAATAATGATAAATTGTCATGAGCATAGCTGACTTTTTCACAACACAAATTTGCTTAGTGGTCGAAAATCACAAGTGCAAAAACAAAAAATATACAAAAAAACAAACAAAGAAACCAACCAAAATAGAGAACAGAGGGCTGCATCCTAAACCCCCCCTCCCCCAGTATAACTCCCACAAATGATATAACATGTGACCTTTCAATTATCCACACATAATCCAGCAGACAGAAAATGAGAATACTCAAACTTAGCAGGTAGAATTATGTTGATCTACCACCAAATCCTCATAACTAAAATACTACCCCGTTCATTGGATAGGACCCTCGGGACTATTTGTCACAGACATTTCTGTAGGGTATTCGATGCAAAGAGCGAAACAGGTGATGTGGAAACATGGAGACTTACCCGTACGAATGTCCCACCAAAACGTTCCTCTTCTTGTGGTATCGATCAAATAAACGAAGCAAATCATAAGAAAGTTCTGAAAATTCGTAATCTGCGATATTGTTCGGTGCAGAGCTTTGCCCGTGTCCCAGCAGGTCGGGAGCTACAACTTCGTACCCCGCCTTGCAAAAGTATTGTACTTGTTCGTACCAAAGATCAGCGCAACCACCAACTCCATGTATGAAAAATATCACAATGATCCTCTGGTAATCAGGATCACCAGCCCCAGACGTGGCTGAACCGGCTGAATGAGCCGAGCGGTTAGACTGTACATCGTCGCGGCTATAACCGCTATCAGATCTCGATATTCGAGGTTTGTAATGCACTACTCTCAGCCACCTGTCTTTTCGTATTTCCACTCTTTCCGATGGTAGATCAGAAACAGGAACAACTCTATTTTGATTACGTCCTCCAAGTGCTCCACACATTGAACACTTTTACCAAATATTTTTTCTGTCTTTTGGAGGTCTAGTGAACTGCAGCCTTCGTATAAGTCCCCTCTATAAACTCAAACGATATTCGCCAAATTATGAGAGCAATTTTGCAGCCGTTGTTTGTCGTCCAAGATATGGCGACTTCAAGTCCATGTTCTTCAAATAATAGCTATTTCAAGTGTCAAATTAATAACGTGCAGAGCAACGGAAGCTGTCCAAGAAGTTGGTACAGTTTAGTGACGAGTGATACGTGAAAAGCACAATTATAATTTCGTGCAATGAATTGTATTATCCTCGACTAGCATAAATATTAAAAAAACCTCATGGTTAATTCGATTTTTTTCTTGCCAAGTCTTCTTTATGTTCTGAAAAAGAGAGAGATTCTTGATGAAAAGATTTCGTGCGTCTTGGGGCTCGAAACTCCAGGCCAATAAACAAAACATGAATATGTTTTTATGCAAGCCGGTTTCAATGATGATGACCTCGGCATTTCGTACAAACTGAACTCACCTTTGAAATTTTACCATAACGCGTAATCGGCTTACAAAAGACTTCTGAAGTAATACAAGGTTAATTGAGAAGGACAGCGGCCCGGATAATTACTTCTTCTGAATACTCCCACCGCAGTATGTTCCCGCAGTATTGCGTTTCGTGAAATACATCCGCCGTATTTCACCGGAAATCGCGTCACAACATTTGTTGCTAAGAGAAACGAGCACAATGGCTGATACAAAAATGGCAAATTATGATATTTTTACCGTTGTTTGTTCATTTACTTATGATATGTTGGAAACGAAATATAGCATGTTGCATGATAATTTACCTAAAATTGTGTACGCTGTTGGGAAACAATGAGATCAAGGTTCAAGTACTTGTGCAGGGGAACATTTGCGATAGTTTGATGATAGTTTACGTTGTTAAACCAAGCATTTCAAGGCGTTAATACTGACACCCATCTAAAACTGCTTTATACGTTGAAGAAGAATAAGAGAAAAACTTAGATAGCTTAAGATATTTCTAGAGGTAATGTGAAAAAAAGTTAAGGAAAAATGTTAAAGAGGTTTACTTCCAGACCGTAGGGTAACCATACTTGCTTAACTAAGTAACGACATTGACTAAATATTTACTTTGTTACCTAAACAAAACGCACAAGGGAGTCTCCCTAATCAAATAATGTAATTATCTTGATCCCCTCTTTGAACCTCCAGTATACTATCCAAATAAATTCATGATGCGTTCTATGCTCTGTTTTATCTCCTGTTACTACTCTATATATATGGTATTAAAAATTCAATTATCTTGAAATATTTTCCAGTTTATTCAGGCTCTAGTTTATGAATCAAAGTTTTGACTCTACCCCACCCCCCCCCCATCAAAAATTCTTACTTCTTGATCCACCCTTGAAAAAAAGGGAAGACAGATATGCGTAACATAGACTCTCCAACAAAGCAGTGGTTGGTAGTGGAAATTCAGTTGATGGGTTTTGACTTGATATCAGACCAGTGGTACATTTGAAACTAATGGTGAGAGCCAGGTGGCAAGACTGACAACCAAAGCACTTTGTTGTAAAAAAAATTGATTCTAAGATCCCCTTCCCTGTTCTTAGTAGTTACCATTGCTGGAAATAAAGAAAAATTTAGATGGAAAGTTTTCACTAAAGTTTTTGATAACTCATTATTAGCACCAGAAAGCTATCCTACTTTTGTTTTTAACAAAGAATAGATCAAAACACACATACTTATAGATAATTCGTTCAAAAGGACTTAGGGCCAGCTAAATTGACTATGTTATCAGATATAATGTCATGCCTAAATATTTCATTTAAGTTAAACTAGCCTTCTAGGCAATTTAAACTACATCACTAAAACACAAAAGAATGCAAGCCAAAATCATTAACCAACAACAAAGCCTTCATTCTGATAATACAGTATACATTCTTTTTACACCAATAACTCATTAGTTAAGATCTTCATTGAGTTGCAGCTAGGTCGATTCATGCTACATTTGATTGTTTTTTTGCTGCTACTACACATTTTGGAGTTTTTTTAACCAAAACTGTACCTTGATTTTGGTTAAGGTAAAAATCTAATTCACTAATCAAATTCAGTTATAATCATCCCAGAGTGAAGAAACCATTACAATTCCTCACTAACTCTGCACTATGCCTTATCCCAACAGCCCAGTTTTGATGTATTCATTTTTCAATTCATCACTTCACTCAACTGACCTCTGTCACTATGCCATTCCAAAGAGTGAGCTACAGAGCTTGTGGAGTTTGTTCCTTGCAGCATATCATGCTGTTTTACATTGTTTTTCACTGAATTGCAAGATATGAAATTTAAGCTGAGCTATTATAAATTTAAGCACTGATTTCTTGTGTTTGAATGAGAACTTTTTGGCACACCTAGTGTTTGGTTGTAAAGTATCATTTAAGTAAACTTCCACAGTTGCTACATTGTCCCAGCTGAATTTTTCATGTCATTCCACAAAGTGATAAGTTATTATTTTGGAAAATCCCAACAAGAGCTCAGAGATAATAAATCCTCTAACTTCCTCTGTGTGTTTTATGCTTGTTCCATTTCCACCAAAACTCCACCACAGTCTTTTGGGTGTAAAAACACTACAGGTTTACCATGAGCACCAATCTAACAAATTTAAATAATAAAAGTATCAAAATACAAATCCTTAAAATCTGCACTCAGACAACTGTCCAGTCACAAACATTAAATAACAAAATATAGAAACAATTTTTTTTTTAATTTTACCTTTGGTTCAGGATTCAGCGCTCTAATATTATGTTTTTGTAGATCCTTCATAGCTTCTTTTATGTCATCAACCTAAACAAAAATTTGGTGTAAAGGAATGTTACAGGTACAGGCCACAGGTTATCTGATTGTAGGTGGGAAACTCAATCTAAATTTCTCAACAAACAAATTGAAAACATAATTTTTCTGACCTCAATACAGATGTGGTGAATTCCACCATCTGTTTTTTTCTTCAGAAAACCAGCTATTGGGCTGTTTTCTCCCAAAGGATGTAAAAGCTGGTGAAAGATAATGTATGACAGGGTTCTCATTAATTCAGGGAGTAGAGTGCTCACTTCACAAAGTAGATGGTTGACACCAATTCATTGTTATTACTCTTTATAACTTACACACAAATTATTTCACGAAAATTAGGTGGCTCAGAAATTAAAGTAGCCTGTTCTTGAGCCAGCAGCTGGCACTTAATGAGAACCCCTGTATGAACATATCATTAATTTGCTTTCCTTTTCCCAGAATATTTTGAATCCTCGTCATCAATAAAAAATTGATCATTCTAGTTTGTCATATATACATTTACAAAAACAAATTTCTGGGAGATGAAGGGTGAAAAGGGCAAAGATTGGCAAAGACAAAAAAAAAACATTCACAAAACTTACTTCAAGTTTAGTGTTCCCCAAATTAACAAAAATGGTAGACACCCCATGTTCTGGTAGATCCTAAGTAAGGAAAAAGGAATTGATCAAATATTTCATAATTATTATATAAACTGCAAACAGAGAGGATTTCAAGTGTTACATAATACATATTAAAATCCAGTGTGTGGCATGCAAGTTCTCAATTCAGCATCAACTTCTTCCTGTGTTTCACAAGGGAATAAAAGAGAGTTAGAAAGGAGGATCTTGCAGTCTATCAGATGTCACTTGGGACCTTTTTTTCCATACACCCTTAGATTAAATTAAGCTTCATTCAACTTGACTCACCTGCACATCGCTGACATCAGCACCTAATATATTCCTATACATTTTACTCGCTTGGTCTACAATAAAAACAGACAATAAATATAATTCCTTTTCTAAATATGTTAGCCTTAGTATGCTGGACACCGAAATGAGGAAGTTTAGGTTCAAGACCTGATCGCATTATTGTGTTGTGTTGAGTGACATACTTTCCTCTCACTGCACCTCTCTACTTCCATGATTAATGTATTCTTATTGTAATTTTGGTTTTATCAACTGAGTTGATATTGTAAATTGGCGGCAATACAGAGAGTATTGAAGCTCTGATGAAAGGGCTAACCCTCTAAACATCAGCTTTGAAACTCTCTATGGAGGCCAATTTATATTATCAACATGGTTGATAAAACCAAAATTACCTTGTTACTTCCACTGATGCAGCACCACAGTTTCTTTAGAAATTTGCCCCCTAGATAGTTATTTCCTGAGTGGGAGAGCTGAACAGGAGGTGGGCACAAATAAATTCACAACCAACCTTAGGTTAAATTTATAAAAAATGAAAAAAAGATCCTACATCTAAACTTTTCCAATGAAGTTGCCAAGTGATTGTCATCTTGACTATACTCATTTTGATGACCCCAACTGTTCATAAGCAATAGTTTACCTAAATCAGGAACAGCAATTGCAACATGGTTGAGCTTTCCAAGCTTCCACAATTTTTCTTGTATTCCCTTCCAATACAACCAAAACATGTAGGTATGAGCAATAATGATTTAAGTAAACAATGAATGTTGTACAAAACTGCATTTATAATTAATCTAATGTTTTTTAATATTATTGCAAATAATAAGTTCTACAGATGGAAAGCAGAAAACTTCCTGTTGTTCATTGGCTTAAAGGTCTATCTGGATGTAACAGAGAGTATATCACAGATGTCAATCACTGAGGATTCGCCAGCCCAGTCCCCACTCCCTCACCTTCCCCTGCCCCGCCCCCTATGGGGCCACCTTGCATTCGCTGAACGTTGTCAAAACAAATGGACGTGCACTCTTACACGCGCGGAAAATGTGCGCTAACGAAAGACAATGATATTGATGGGAAAGATAATCGCGTCATGACATAGAAAAATCTTATGCTTTCTACAATTGAATAAAAATTGCCCAAAGAAGAGATTTAAGGAGCCTTCTGGTCTCATCACTTTATAGGATTAAACCTTCACCTGACAGAGTATTGCAGAGCTGAGGTAGATATACCATTCTCAATGTAAGATAAATGAAATGATTACGCTTGTAAAAATAAAAATGTGCTAATAACTCATTTCATGAAAGCTGCTTACCGGAGAATTGGTAACACTTCTCCAAGAAAGTGGCAAAACCGCGGCACGTGAAATTTTTGAAGTGAACAATCTAAACGCCATGTTGGTTTAACGGGGATTGGGGAGTCTGGTGACCACAGTGAATCGTGCGGACATGCATGTAACTCTAAGTAACTGTCACTCCTAAACCCAATAAGTGACCAGCATTTAATTAAGGAAATGATCACCAACCTAACAAAATTCGATTACTAAATGATACTGAAATTCTGTTGGTCCCAATCAAACTCAAGTTCAAAATACGTATATCTTATCAAACGTTTTGTTGTGTAGTATCGCCGAGTATTTTCACGAGTTGTGACGTATTTTGACGAGCCCGTAGCGCGGGTCAAAATACAAATAACGTGAATACTCAGCGAACATGTTATTTTCACGTCTAAGGATGTTCACGTTTTCGCGCGAAAGCTCTGGTATTTCATTGGTGTTTATGTAATAAATTTAACCCTTATACGTCGGCACAGAATAAATGAAAATAATATGCTTGATGAAGAATGGTACCCACCTATTCACCTTACCCAGTCAAACTGCGTCACTTACCAATTTTCCCAGTTATATGGTCATTATACGTTACATCCCCAAAAACAACCCCTATTTTCCTTAAAAAAAAGCCCTTGAACAGACGACTCATTCAAGCAGGATAATCGATATCTGAGTATGTTTTCCTTGACCTCCACTCGACTTTTTGTTGAGAATCATTGTTCATTTGTCATGGACAAGCTAATACACATATTTTTTCCTGTTAAACCAAGTTTTATGGCTCGATTTTTAAAGCCAGCCATTCAAAAGTTAAAGCGTAAATATTGAGGATTTTCCAACAGTGAGCTAAGGTGCGGGAAAAGTCCCTGAATAATTTCGTGATATTTCCTTTTTTTTTTTCATTTCTTTTGAATTCCATCCAGTCTTTAATTCATTTCAGTCTTTCATTTATTTCAATCAATGAACCAAACGCAAACATAATCATCCTTTTGTGTTCATGATTCTTGGCCCCTTTAAGTTTTACAGTTTCCCTATCTACCTATTAAGGATAATTGAGGCAGAAAATGACACATATCAAAGATCGACGCTCAGTGCGCTACTGTTTATTAACTGATGTCTGGACTAGTAAACAATAAACTAGTGGTGCTGTCATAGGGCTGTCCACCGTTTCCATAAGATGTCGGTATTTTCATTGGCCATTCCGTAGCTCTTATCAAACAGGAGTTTCCAAGGGACCGTCATCTCTTCTTCTTCTTTCCATAATGTCAACTGTTTCACTTTTCACAAGTTTCACTCTATAATTACGTTCTCTCCAGTCTAACCAGCATTTGGGATGAAACCTCAGTGTTACAATCAACCAAAATCCGTAAATACACCAAAGAAACAGACTGAGAACAATCAAACCCGCACCAGTCCACGTGTCGGCCAGCACCATGTAGTGCCATGCCCCTTGCGCACACAGATATGAGCTGGCAAACACTAAGGGGCTGAGTATCAGAAAGCAAATCAGGTCTCCGCAGAGATATCGGCGGTCGCGGCGGCTTTGGCCTTTGGTGAACCACTGGAAAGAGAAATCGAAGGGAAAAAAAACGCATTTACAGAAATAAAGTTACGTAAGTAAATAGTGATAAAATCACTTTCTCTCAAAAGATAAAAAAATGTATACCACGCTTTAGCTCTAACTAGTGGTATACTAAGCATCTGAGAACTTCGCAGGTATTTTGAAAGGGGAGAACCATTCTTAAGAACACAACACAATAAACCCGATTCGGACTACAACTCAAACCTTTAGGTGTTTAATTATTTTACGACAAAGAGGCTAGAGTTTAATGCCCGTTATCTGAGTTTTATAAAATGAATTGAATTGAATAAAACATATGGCTCGCAAACACAGTCTTAAAATTATCAGAGAAGATTATAATTTGAAATGGTGAAAAAAAAAAAAACTCAAAAAGCAAATGAACAATGGCGTCGTCTAAACTTGTGACACGATTTCTAGTTAGAGGTTAAATCGTACCTCGATAAATGACCTTGGGAGTCTCCTGACGTGATACGCATGGCCACAAATTTCACAGGAGTCTTTGTTGGCTCTTGAAAGCCATTCCTCCAAACATTGGACATGACACTTCCCTAACGTTCCTGAGCAGTGACACGGACTGACGAGTGATCCACCAACAAACTCATCTCTGCAGATACGACAGGTGTTCAGCAAATCGTCTGACGAGTAAGATAGTAGTTCCAAATGAAAATTCTGTTCAAAGAAAAGAAAAACACAGTTAAACACTTTCCCTCCCAAGATCTTCTTAGTAATCCTCCTTACTATAGGCAAAACAATTCTTATGATGCAAGTTTGAATAATTTGGTACATGATCAACTAATAATCCCCTAATTGACACTTTTCTTTATTCTCATCAATTTGTACTATATATTATTAAAAACTGGATCGTTGGATAATGCAATTCAAGACTTTTTATTGGCTTAGCCATTATGGTATATGAGCCAATATACCATAATCTACAAATATGGCAAGCGTACGCGTCAGCTTAAGATCAAAAGGGAACTAAAAATCCTGTTTTTTCTTACAAAATAATAATTTCTTGGGGGAGTTTTTAATAAAACAATTATTCCACTCACGCTTGTTGGATATGAGGTGATAGATAGCCAACGCGCCTCGTTGGCTATCTATCACCTCATATCCAACGCGCGCTCGTGGAATAATTGTTAATTATAGCGGAGCTCGCGGAACGTAGCCCCATAACTATACAAAATGGTAGTATAGTAACCCATCAAGCCGAAAACAATTGGACTTATGACCGTACAGGCGTACGGTCCATACAAACGACTCATTCACGACATAAACATCACAAACGACCGAAAAAGAACGACCTAACTTTAGTGACAGATCGAAACAGACCAATCACGACCGACTTACGTCACTTGAGTCTTACAGCCAATAACATCACGGCAAAACCAACCGATCATTTCACACGAACTGGAATAAGAACATTCTAATGACAACAATCATTCACTTGACTCTGATGATGACTTCCGCACAGGTTGTCGAAACGTCAGTCACTACCACCGACAACAGTCCTTCTCAGGACTACACTCACCCGGACGATCAGACTACACCTTGACATGTTAGGTATTCCCGTTTATGACCTTAAGACCCCCCAAATCGCGCACAGTACGCTTGAGACACCTGTGGGTTCTATTTCTTTCAGAACCATTCCTTGTAACATGAAGCTGTCAAAAGCAAATTTTGCATCTAAAGAAAAACAGACAAAAATATTTTTAAAAATGAGTCGAAATTTGTAAGAACCATGTACTTGCATTTGATTGGTCCGAGTCAGCTGGAGAAATTCTTCGATCTGCTATTGGGATGATATGTTGTTTTTCTGTTATCGAATCACTCGCCATCGAAGGCGGTAAATTTTCTCAGCTATAAGTCATTTGCTTTCTGTTTTGGAAAAAGCAGTGAAGGACCCCGTTTTTTAAGCTCTAATTTACAGCTTTAGTTGCTAATTAAGATTATGACGTCAACCACTCTTCTTCGCTTTCTTTGATCATCCAGTGCTGTTCGGCGTTTCTCCCGGTGCACGCTCAATTACCTTTGCTTTAAATTCTATAAGTGACCGGCTAAATATTTTTTGTTGTTTTCTTTTCAGCCAAGGCAGACGGTTTAAATTTTGTCCGTCCAAGTCAAAAAAATTGTATCGACTTTTAGAATTTACAAGTCTCAGTTGAACTTGACCTCTGACGTCATATAATTTATACAAGCGGAAAGTCTGAAAAAATTCCCACGGAAAACAATAGCCTTCGTGCGTGGGAGTAATTCCCCCCTCCCCCAGACAGGTTGCTGTCATGTCCCTTTCTCCGGAGGAAAAGTGGACGCACTGTCTATGAAAAATGATTAAAGGCCGGGTAAGTTTCTACTGAGAAATTGTGGTACCACGTCCGTAGGGGTTTTACAAAATAATTTGGCTTTATCTAATCAACTGAGTTCATAATGTAATTTAGCCAGTGTTATCAGTTCCCAAGGGCTAATACTTGATACCTCAGCTTTAGAGACGCTTAATGGTGACTAACTCAACTCATTTGATAAAATCAAATTTAATTTAACTTGTCAACGAAAAAGTTCGATTAAAGATTTTCGTATAGCCTCATAGCCTTCTAAAACAAAGCCATAGTCCCAAAGGCAATCTATTGTTTATGTCACTGTTTTCTTTATCAATGCAAAAGAAATATAATAGGGGGCTGCTCGGAAATCAACTTTGGTGTTGAAGGAATAAATTTGAAAACAAAAGAATTTAAGGTGTTGGCTAGCACGCAGAAAGTTAGAACTCAATCAACTCTCGCAATAATGAAAACAAATTTATTCTACAGAACACTCGGCATATGTTTAAATCAAACCAATACAGTTGATATCTTTTGGAAAAGTTAAAAGTCCAAAAATAAACATAATTACTGTAGTGTTTTAAACGGACTGAACGCTGCTGGTGCGAGTCGTACACAAAATTCGAAAAGCTATTCACAGTCTTCACAGTTTAACGAGAATTTGAGGAATGCACGAGAAATGAATTCTAAAACTGTGAAGACCAACTTATATACAGCTATTTACAGGTTAAAGAAAAAGTCATAGTTTTGGAAATAAACTTACTGTTAAATTCTTCTCGCATTTTTATTTTTTGGTCTTGGGTTTCGCTTTCGAGGTGTTCTTAGACTTCGGAACTTTTTGTTTGTCTTTCCCTTTTTCGCTCTCTTTTTTTCCGATAGAAGATTTCTTACTCGCACTTGGCTTTGCTGTGGCTTTCTTAACCTTCTTTGCCTTCGTGGCTCCTTCGCTGCCTTCTTTGACTGTGGACTTTTTAGCTTTAGGTTTTGACTTCCTTTCCACTGCAGGGTCTCTAGAACCCTCACGTTTCTTTTTACTTGTACTTTCTTTGTTTTTATTTGAGGACTTTTTCTTTGGTCGTTCTTTCTCTTCGTTCTCTTTGTCTTCGCCGTCAACATTCTTCGGTTTTTTCTTACTGGTTTTCTTAACTTTGCTCGTCGTCTTCTTGTTGTTGATATCCCTTTCATTGTTCTCCTTATCTTTCAAATCTTTTCTTTCTTGCTTCAGTCGCCTCTTCTCCTCTTTCTTCTCCTCTTCTTTCACTTCCTTTGAAATTTTGAATGAGCCCGAAGCTCCAACTCCTTTCGTCTGCACGAGGCGTCCCTTGCCGACATTTTTGACCAGCGCAAGTTTAATCTGATTGTTAGCGGTCTCACCGACCAGATACTTTGCTTTGATATACTTGGTTATGGCTTGTCGAGAAGAGCCTCCCTTCTCGTTTAAAAATTTGACTGCTTCTTCTACCATTTCGGTATACTTTGGGTGTTTAGGTTTCACGATAGAAATTTTTTGAGTAGAATCTTCTTCAGACATGGTGCTCGAGACTTCAGTTCAGGAAAGCTTTAAAAATGCGGGGCCCAGAAGCAATGACAGACATGTGGAATAGAACGGTATATATAATCTTAACAAATACGTGCATGGGAATGTTTTATAGCATTCAGGTATTGTTCACGTTTTCCCTTGAGCTTTGAGAGACATCTTTCATTGTTTGAACGGGCTGGGCAACGTTAATTTACACATTCTACAGCTTTATTGTGCGTTGAAATTTAGACCCTGCAATTACAAATGTTTCATTTTCATAATTCATAACAGATGAGGTGAAACTTATTTTTAAGATAAAAATGATGTGGTGGAATATTTTAATCGCTTATTCAAAAGTTTCTGGTTCATTCGAACCCATTTATTATGGCCTGGCTAAACTAGGACACTTTGTTGCGGAAACATTGTTGCGGAGGCAACTTAATGTTTCCCAGTTTAGCCGCACGGGAAACACATGTTGCCGAAACAAATTTTGCTGCTCGGAAACAAAAATTGTTTTTGCCTGCAGACCAAAACATTTTTGTTTCCCAGACACAAATTTTGCGTCCGAAACATATGTTTCCCAGTTTAGCCACGATGAAAACAATGTTGATTAATTTCCAGTGCCGCTCGCATATTGAAAAATGTTTCATAGTAACGGCGAGCAGACAACAATTGAAATGGCTTACTGCAAAGAAATTCAAGCAGGTCACGCTCAAAGAAAGGGAAAGGGAAGGGCAAGGAATTGGAAAGATGAAGAAATTGAAATGCTAATTACGCTGTATGAGGAAAGGCCTTGTCTCTGGGACATAAGGACTACACTACTTGTCTCTGTAGTCATAAGGACTACATTAACAAGGACAGTAAGGAGGTGGCGTATTCACAAATCGATCTACTGATGACAGAAAAATGATATCAGCCGGGAGGATTACAAGAGCAAGTGGAAAATTATCAGGTGACAATTTATGAGGGAACAGGCCCTGGAAAGAAAAACAAGTCCGGTCAACAAACAAGCGATGTGTACCACTCGCTCCTCATGGAAGTGGTACAAGATGCTGAAGCTCCTTATTATTGTGCAGAATGCCACAAAGGGCTTTGATACAATGAAAATGTGGACATCCTATGATCCCCAGACTTCCTCGAAGTCAGTTCATTCATACACGCATGCGTAGCTCATTTGTTTTCCGAAACAATGTTTCCTCGTTTAGCCACTGGGGCAGCAAAACACATTTTGTTTGTTTCCCGCTAATTTAGCCACCCCGGGAAACATAACAGGAAACAATGTTTCCGCAACAAAGTTTCCTAGTTTAGCCAGGCCCTAAGTGTCTTTCAGTTTTATTATGAATGGTTTTCTTGAGGTAGGGGTAGGTGAGGAAGGAGGGAGGTAGGGTGGGGTTTAAAACTAAGCAAAAATTAGCAGAGAATTAGCATAGACAGGAGCCCATCTCTTGTAATGGGCTCCTGGCATAGATGAATACTTGAACGTGAGAAGTTTGACTCTTTCCAAATATCTTTACACAAATTTAACCCATAATAAAATTTGACCAAGAGAGGAGGCAACGAGGAAAGAATCTGGGAACGAGGGTTGCGACCCTCAAAATTCGCCATTTTTCCTTCTCCTTTCGGATGACTGTAAGTAATCAGTGGAGGTGAATCTTTGTACAAAATACTGACCAAATGAGAAGTACGCAGTAAAAAAGGCCCGTGAATACTCGAGGTAACGAAGATGAACGACGATATGACCGATGAGTTGGCCCCAAGAGCGGAGATCTTCAGATCAAAGCTCATCGAGGATTTTCAGCTTATCGACATGATTGTCAACAGTGGCGGCGCAGAGCCACCAAAATACTATTCCAACGAAATAACAGGTAACTGTTTTGTCACGACATTCAGCGAAATATTTCAGGTCTGCTGTTTGGCAAATAATTCTCTTTGGTCAAATGTTGCGAGGAAACTCTTCACCACTAGTTAAACAAAAGTGGGTATGACGGTTGCCAAGTTTGGAAAGCAAGAGGCCTTTAATTCTTCTTCCGATGTTTGCAGGTTATCCATTCAGTTTTTGAGATCCTTTAGGTGTCTATGCACAATGACTGTCTTAAATTGATATTTTGAAATAACCTGCCCGTAAATTTTGTTTTCAGACGACGAAGTTATGAAGCAATTGTTAAGAGAGACTCCCCAAGGCCTGATCAAGTTTCAAGTGTACTCTAAGAAAGATGAACAGCGCTTTACAGATCGTCGTTTAAACCGAGTAAAGAACAAAAATGCTATTCCACTTGGACCATGGGCACACACTGTTATAGAAGGTTTGTTTTATGAACGACTGATGGCTTATCCTTTTCGCTTAAATAAACATAGTGCATTCAAATTCCATCATTCCTCACTGTTACAACAGAAAGGTGCATGCATTGACCAAGTTTGTGTAAAATGGCTGTTAACCATGTACTGTAATTTAATCTATCAACAGATCCAAGGATTCAAAACTTAATGATGATTTTGATCATAACAAATTCTATCGTATTGGGAGTCCAAGCTGGTAAGCACAAAACAACTAGTTTCCACAGTCTGTTATAATCTTACTTGTTGATGTAATCCTGGAATCAAAAATAGGCACTCTATGCTATTCCTTTTATTGTAACAGTTCCAAATTTTTTTTTTTATTATAGAAATATCCAAAATTGAGGATTCCTCACTGCATGGACTGAAACTTGTGTTACAAATTTTTGATTTCTGCACATTGACCATTTTTGTACTTGAGATAATCCTCAAGTGGATTGATGGATTCTGGACTTTTTGGAAAAATGGATGGAACATTTTTGACTTCATTGTGACCGTGATGGTTTGTATGAGCACCAGTTGTAACATGTCTGTCCAATTCTTAATGCTATAGTCATTAACTCACCAATTAAAATAAATGAATGAGAGATTTTTTTCAGTAATAAACCTCAACATTTTTACCTTTTCTCACACACTGCTGGTTGTCATGTCAAGCTGACCCCATAGGTCACATGACCTATACGCAGGCCCCAGCTGTGTGTGAGAAAAACATTTTTCACTTATTTCGTTCCACTCAGCCAGTGAAAAATTACTCTTATTCCCTAACATCAAAGTGCATATTCTTTGTACAGTTCTTTACACCAAGCTGCTTACATGGAGAATTTGTTTAACTCTTAAGAGCTTCTTAAGTACATGATCATTTCCTTTATTCTCCTAACCTTAATGTTTGATTTAGGGGTGTTATTGTAAGGAGAAATTAGATGCTAGTCAGCTGTAGGTGTCAAAGGTTACCATAACGTATACTCATCTCCTGAGAGGGATAATTATCCATAGTACTTAGTGCCTTTTTACACCAATCTACTCATGCATGAAGTTAAAATCTATATCCATGATATTAGTCATTTGTGCCAGAAATCATTGAGCTGTCATCAGGAAAAAATACAGCAGAAGTGGCTGTCATTGCTGAAAACTTGCGAGTATTCAGAATTTTGCGATCCTTGAAAATGGTAAGAATACCTACTGTAGTAGTGTATAGTGTATATTATTTCGTTATCATGAAATTGGTAAAAAAAATGAAAAAAGTGATAAATCATTTAATTAAAAAAATGATTGGAAATGATTTGAAATAGTGAGAATATGATAATTATGAAATAAATAACTATTTGCATAGAGTAAATGTCACATTTGTTATGGATCGTTTTAGGTATCTAGGTTTGCCCAGCTAAGGATCATTGTCCTTACCATTCTCAAAGCATTCAAGGTATCCATTTTTTTGTTTGTACGTTTTTTTTGTTTTCAATATGAGGGAAGATATGATAGTAAGCATAATAACAGCCCAATATTCAGTGAACTCTTAAGCTATGCTATCACTAGCCACTGTCTATAGCTTGATCAGTTAATGCTTCACCGATTTCCTTTAATCTTTTTTTTAGTCAATGGCTTTTATCCTGATACTGTTGATGACTTTTATGTACATTTTTGCTGTGGCTGGAACAGTCATGTTTGCTTCATACTCCAAGTCAGACAGAACAGACCTCAAGTATAAACAGAGTTTTAGGTAAATCTCCTTGGAAGCATTATGTATTTTTTGTTGGCATTACATTGTTGATGATGCCCCTAATATTTCAAGTTATCACAATCATAGTAGATGTAGACTCCTGTACCCCTGTAAGTTACAGGCTGCCTCTCCCCTTCTGCATCTCACTCCATATCTATGCACAAGAACAGTTTAGTATTGTCTTTGTACCAGTAGTAAACCCTTTAACTCCCAAGATCCGATTGTTAATTCTCATCTTTAGCTGCTACACATTTCCTTGTAAATTGGTTAATATGTGAATTTGGTGTTCAATCAAGGTAACAACTTCTGCCAAATAAGTTAGAGTATTCTCCCTACCTGTTTGCTGGATAATGTATTCATATTATAGGGAGAAGTTACATGTTAATCACTCATGGGAGTTAAAACATTAATCAGAATAACATGTCATATTGCAGCACCCTTGGTAATGCCTTGGTCACCCTGTTTCAACTTTTCACCCTGGATCACTGGTATGACATTCTCAGAGATCTTGTCAAAGTGGTAGACCCCATCACAGTCAAGATCTACATCATCTTGTGGATCTGTATTGGAGCTTTCATATTCAGAAATATCTTTGCTGGCATTATGGGTATGAGACACTAAGAGCTTCTTTTTGAAGTATTGTGTGTAACCTGAACTTAAGCCTCTCATCTTCCTAGAGTAGAGGGCAAAAGTCACCCTCGCCTGATTTTGGTATATATGACAGTGTTTTCAACTAGACATGGCACCTGCCAGAGCTCCAACAGGTATTCTGTTATGAATCACCATGTAAATTCTTCTACCGTTTTCTAAAACTTTTGATTGCTGACTTAAATGGAAAATAAATTCCGTCGTGGCCTAGTGTTTCATTGGCAACAAATTCATAAAGATTTCTCTGACTTCCATATCTTGTTTTTCTTGAGAAAGGTAGAAAAGGCTTTATAGTGGATATTGATCACAATTTTTTAAAAATCATCTTGAGAAGAAAATTATTCTGGGCTTCTTCACATCTAATGGGTGCTTTCAAATCTTATTGGAAGCACTGTGCAAACAAAGACCTTGTAGTCCTGCTACTCACTTCTTTTACAATAAAAATAGAATCTGCAAAATAATTAGCTGATAATACTAGTGCAGGACTCCTTTCAAAATATTCGCATCTACCTATTTATGTCCTTGCATATTAAAAGTATAGTTTTATGACTATAAGAGAGAGGAGAGTACTGGATGTGGGTTAGGCTGATTTGGGAAGGTTTTAGTAGTTTCAAGTCCATTGTAAAGCTATTTGGTACCTGTTGCAGTCATGAACTTCCAGAGCATAAGAAGTGATTTTAATCAACAAGTAAAGGAGCAAACTGAAGCTATTGAGGCAGAACAAATGAGAAATCACTTAGTAGAGGAGCTGGGAAGACAGGACAGAGTGCAAAGCAGAATAAGGTATTTATTACTGAACAACCCATTACAACAATGTTCATTCAATTATACTTAGCATTGAAAAAATATTGTTACACTGCAAGAAAATTTTTCATCTATCTAGACGAATCAGCAGTGTGGGCAAAGAACTAGGAAAACAGCTAGAATCTATGTCAGTGCTAGCAGAGACTGAAGAAGATGAAGAAGAAAGCTGTGAGACTAGAGACAATGAGGGAATTAGAGATTCCTCCACTCCACCACAGGGAGGAGAAACTATGCCAAAGCCAGCATCAAATGAACCTGATCCTTTACCCACATTAGGAGACAAACTTGCTCAATTGAGGTAACATAGCCAACTTACTTATAACCTCACATCAAGAGTAAGTTATTCCATGGAAGCAACCATATCAGGCTGTGTAAAATTTCTCAGAAATGAATGCATAATTACCACAATGATTGGTGGAAATTTATTTGTGGATTAATTCAAAACTCGTGAAAAATCTTAAATTCAATTCAATTATAGCTCTAAATACAATTATGAGTTAAAATTTTTGTCCCAACCATTGCACTGAGCAATGAAGGCTACTCCTTCAACTGACCAAATCCAGCTGATTGGCGATTGTTGCACAAGAGAGAGTTGATGTTTTTTTAAGGGAGAAGAAGAACAGCTGGGGTCAACAGAGTGGAGCTGACCAGCATTCAATACCAGAATCTCATGAAGAGTTTGCTCATGACAAAGCTAGAGACATGACTAATGGTTAGTTACCTTTCTACTTGTGGTGTTTATGTGGAAATATAGGGATAAATTTTATACCTCACACTAATGAGGTATAAATAATAATGGTCCCCTACCTCTCTTGCTGTTTTGCGTGTGTGTTTTTTTGAGCGGTTAGGTTGGGTTGGGTTGGTTTCAAGACATATTCATGGTGTATTTTTCTGACTTTTATGTTAAATGTGTTGTAAATTTGTTTTAGACTGGATTGCAACAGTTCAAGCTAATCTGACTGATCTTAAGAACCACCCTGTGGAGATACTGTGGCAGAGAGACACGCTGTTCAGGTTGGAAAAATAGCAAATAAACAGTTGACTTCAAAATAATATGCTTCAGACAATTACTAGTAAAACAACTGTGTTCAGCATTTGCACTAAAGAGTAAATCTTAGCACTATTTGTTAAGTACTAAATGCACACTTAAGGGGTATTTCCAATCGTTGCAGTGTTGTACTGAAGATGTCCTTGTATAGGGTGTTAGAAAAAGAAAAATTCTTGCCTATTTCTGAAATTAATTTTGAATGTGCAATAGATATTTCCAGTTAATGGAAGCCTGGCAAGAGAACCTTGCTGAACGACAGCAGCTGATTCCCATGGCTGGTGAGTGAAAGATTACAAGTCAAACTCTGAAATTTCAAACTTTACCAAGTGTTGGCAAAACCAAAATATCTGTGCTTGAAAGTATGAAATTAAAGTGCCTATGAAATGTTTTTTTTTTTCACGGCTTTTTTTAGCTTGATGCATATAAAAAACGATTCTAACCTTCAATCTGGTGGAAACGTTTTCAAACCTGAATTTTTGTGCTCTAAAAAGTACTATTTTGTAGTGAAAATTGTCTTGGGGTCTGGGACCTTGTTCACGGCCTTCGTGACATAATTTTATGTACACAAAACACCAAGTTGCGGGACATGTGGAGGAGAGAGGTGAGTCATTCATTCATTTGAGCGAGTGTCACTCTGCTGATTCTATAGATTATAGAATCACTCTTTTTGCCGCACTGTCATCCATGTTGGTTTCGATGGCTGTACACAACTTGATGTCACGAAAGAAAATCACGTGACGTTTTGGTCATGTGGAAGAGGGGACAATTTCGTTCGCAGATAGCACATGTTTTGAACTAAAAAAAGGGGTTTGAAGACATTTCCACCTGGATTAAAGGTTAAATTGGTTTTTTTATATGCATCAAGCTAAGAAAAACTGAAAAAAAAAATTCATGCCATAGGCACTTTAAGAACAATATGATTTTTTTCCTGTTTTCTTGACAGACCTATTCTGAAGCATTTAATTAATTAATGACATTTTTTTTCATCACAGGCCAGGCCTTACTCAAGCTCCATGATACTTGATCACAAATGAAGCCTTTGAAAATGAGCCTGATTTAATCAGGACTGTTCCTTCGGACAGAGACTGTTCAAATTTAAACATTATGTATCAGTTTAAAATGTATTGTGTTGTCTTTAACCCATTGTGCTGGTTGTAGAACATTTAGATAACACGTCACAATACACAAGTCTGGGACATTATCAAGCTTCAAGTTATTCTCGTGGGGTTTTGTGTTTCTACTAAAAGTTGAGAGTATATTTAGGGTTCCACGTTCTGATCGGAAGAGTTTTAGCGATAAAATTATTTTTGCTACTTTATGAAGATTTATCTTCTCCAGTTTTATGAGGTTAATTCAAATGATGTTGGCAAGGTTTACAGAAAAACAGTAATTGATTATTGTACCTTTGTTTCCAGAATTGCTTGGTATGAAATGTTTTGTTAATTAAGAACAAAATTTAAGGCATAAATATTCTAATAAAGCAGCTAAATTCAGAAAAAAGTAACTGAACTTTATTGTGCTTGGTTCTAAGCTTTGTTAATATTTAAACTATTATTCAGCTAAAATTCAGCGATTCTTCTTGGTCTTGAGCTGTGGTGGAGGGACAGGGTTTGATGTTGGGGCATGTGTTGAGGCAGCAATCTTGTTAATGTAGTATATGGCTACCATTGAAAACAGGAAGCTGTAGAGTAAAAAATGGTTTTGGACGGGTCATTATAGTTTATATTTAGCTTTGGGTTGTTCAGATGTTATGTCGTAAACAAAGTAATGGATTGAGTGGCCAAAGTCTAGTGCATGGAACTCTGAATTAGAAGGTGTGAATTTGAGCCCAGAGTGGGTTATCATTGACAGGTCATATCACAGCTAGTGGGATTGACAGAATTAAATGCAACCAATGGCATTATTTGAATACTACAAAACTGACAACAACTTACCAGGTTGTTACACAAACTCTGTGGACTAGGCCAGAGGCAAACATTGCAACTACCAGACAAAGTATAACTTGAAGAAAATGAAGTAAATACAAATTATCAAAAAGACATGCCTAAACACTGATTTGATGATGCATAAATGAGAAATTGAATAATAATAATAATAAAGGGGTCTGGCATCAGCACATCCTAAGGACTGTTCATTGTCTGTTGTTTCCAAATCATATTGACAATTATTGTGTTAGTTTTATGAAGGAAGCAAAAAAGAAGATCAGAAAATAACAAATGGTTCCAGAAATTTCTCATTTCTATAAACCAAAATGAACAACAATTGGACCCTTATGAACAAAATTTAAAATATTTACCTTCTGGGAACAGTTTTGTTTGGAAATTTCGACCAAACACAGTTGTTTCCAAATTTCCTACTGCCTGGTAAATTAAATGTCAAGGAATACGCATGTAGTACGTTTAGACCCACACTACCAGAAATCAGCCACATCAACACGATGCAATGATACTTCATTGGCTTCTAACAATAATTTAATCACGAAAGAAAATAGACTTGACCCACATAGATATTACTCATCAGATTCCCTCTTTGATTATTATTTTTTCATACGAGTCTCTGATAAGTATCGCTAAGAGGCATTTCAAACTTTCAAAAGAAAAGAAACCTTGTAGAGGGCTACTACATTCAAATCAAGTCTTTGTTCTTGGTGAAACTGAATACTCGCAACGTATTAAATGTATACATATATATATATATAAAACACCACCTTGGAATCTTTCGAGCCAATCTTTTGGTGAGTATCCTTGAGTTTACATATGTTCTTTCAGAAGCAATTTTGTAAAGGATACAGTTAGAAGGAAGACGAAGAACTGGGATCCTATAAATCCCCCCAAAATAGTCATCCACTCGCTGGATGCCAAGTTTGCTTTGAACATTTGCATTCCAGCGAAAGTCAGCACGGTTAACGTTGTCGCAAATAGGAACGAAGTGGACGACGGAAGAGCTGTGATTCAAAATAGTTGTATCAATGTTAAATCAAAGGAGAATTTCCAGATTTATAAGCGAATAAGATATAGTAGTGTACTCACCCATGTTGAGAGGGAAAAGAGAACAACTCAGCTGTTCGCCCCAGTACTTCACAGACAAATAAACACACGTTCCCGGATGACCTATAGTAACATGGCGGGTCACGGAAGGTCAAGTTAGCAAAACTGTTGCCCGGAAATTTTCACAGTTTATAGCCTGCAGTTATGTTGAATGAGTTAAATTTTAAGCCGAGAAGAATACCAAACCAGAATTTAGTGTGGAGGCTTCGTCAGAGAGAAACTAATTTTCCAAAACCCGGAACTCATTGGCATCAAGCAAGAGCTTTCACTCAAAACATCTTTCCAAATTTCACGATTGTGAATGTCGAGACACCTCCATGTTATCTGCGAAAGTTCTCACCCGATGGACGTTATTTCGTTGCATTCTCATTAGATCAAAGCTCCGTTGAGGTGTACGAATTCCAAGGGCCAAGTGCAGCTGAGGAATTGCTTGCAAAAGAATCGCCAGACATTGAGATTAGAAGCAGATTGTTTAGTAGCTTCTTCCGTTTAAGCTCCGTTGTAACCGTGGCACAAAATGGAGAGCATTTGAACAGAGAGTGTAGTTTATTTACTGACGATGGCCGTTATGTTATAGTTGGATCAGCTTCGTATGTCCCAGAGGAACCGCATCCATATTTCTTTGATATCTACGGTAACAACGAGTCGGTCTCTCCAAATCCCAGGTCTCCTCTAGAAGACTACACAATCCACATCGTCGATATGAAAACTGGAATGTTGTCAGATTCCAGAGTGTTTAAGTGCGATAAGATATTCTTGTCACACAATCAAGGACTGTACTTATACAGAGATCTACTTGCAGTGTTATCCGTTCAACAGCAACAGATTCACATTTTTCAGGTTACGGCTGATGGCAAGTTTATTGATGTGCGCACAATTGGTCGATTCTGTTATGAGGATGATGAGTTTATGCTGACTTGTGTCAGGAACGTCGATGCTAATGGCCAACCAATTGTGCGACCATACATGGAAACCTGCCTTAATGGACTGAAGCATAGAATTCTGGCCCATCTTTGGAGATGTGCACACAACGAAGGCACTGCTTTAGCTATGGGGAGGTTTTATCAGCATGTTGAACTGTTCAGAGCTCTGAGAATGTGGAAGATGCAGCTTTTTGATAGTAGGATTTTGCTGATTAAGTATGCCAGTGAAGATGTAGTAACGTTGAGGGTCCCAGATCCAAACTCTCAGCCATCATTCTTTATTGTGTACGACATGGAAACTACCAAAGTTTTGGCTGTGTTTGAAAACACTTCAGAGAAATTGTTAGAACTTTTTGAACAGTTCTGTGACTCTTTCCGCAATGCTATGTTGCATTCACCAGCACAATTTACTTGTTCAGCTTCAAGCAACATTTTTGCTCGCCAAATTCAAAGACGCTTCAAGCATACCATTGTAAATGCAAAATATGGAGGGTATACAGAAGCTGTCAAGCGTCTTCTTGCTCAGTTGCCAATCAGCTCCCAGTCTTACAGTAGCAGTCCTTATTTGGACTTGTCCCTGTTTAAATATGACGACAAGTGGGTATCTGTCATGGAACGGCCCAAGGCCTGTGGAGATCATCCAATAAGGTAAAAGTTTAGGTGTAGCTGACAGAAATACCATGCTGATCTCATAAGAATCTTTAACTGAAGAAAAATTTTGAACCCCAATATTCCAATATACTGATATTTAGTTCTTATTAACTGAGCGGGAGGTCTGTATGGGAGAATCTTGACCGAGGTCACCAGTACAGACCGAACGCAGTGAGGTCTGTACCAGCGACCGAGGTCAAGATTCTCCTATACAGACTGACCTAACTCGGTTAATAAGATGTTTATTATATGGCCGTATCTTATATGCCAATTTTTTATATTCTTTGTACCTTTTTTCTAGACCAGTCTAGATGGGAAAATCTAGACTGCTTTCAATATTGATTTCAGCCAATCAAATTTGTGAATTCGGTAGTTCTCAGTCCTTGTGAGACACAGCCATAAAATAATTTAAGATATTGCCCTTTCTCAGTGCATGAAAGAGGACAACTGAAATGAGGGAATTGACCGTTAAACTCTTTGGAGTGATTGGCAGCTGATTTCTCCTTGTAGTGTTACTGTTGCATCAAACAGTATGGTTATGAGAAGCACTCAGTTGTTGAGCAAATTCTCCATGATAGTACCACTGGTAATGCATGGAGAGCAAGACGAAGAATATGCAAAGTCATGATAGGGTGTCAAGGTCCAACAATGCTAGTTTTGTTTTATTTCTAAGTCCACAGCTTTGTGAGAACCTTCTTTATTTTTTGGTGAAACTAACCCTTGTAAAGTTCTCAAGATTTTATTGTTATTAACCAATCACAAGTATTTGTGTTGCTGATTTTTCTTTCCTTTGCAGGTTTTATTCCAGGGATTCAGGGCTTCTGAAATTTAAGATCCACGCTGGATTCTTGGGTCGTCCAATACCACCAACAGGAAAGCGACTGGTGGCTTTCACTTTTCACCCTCTATACCCATTTGCAATCTCAGTACAGAAAACTAATGCAGAATATGTGGTGAACTTCCATATCAGACACCTTACAAGTGGTGTAGAACATACTTGAGTGTAATCTTAATCCAGTTACCCTTATGGTGAGAAATTGTCTTATGAGATCAGGATAGGGTTAAGATCAGCTTGCAAAGCAAGTTGGAATCTGCACTCAACATCTTTTACCCATGGTAAAATAATTAGGTATCTATCTTGAGTTTCAATATTCTTGTTAGTTCCAATTTTATTGCCAGTTTCTTTATGAAACTCAAAAACCAAGAGATTATGTTTGTTCAAAACACTTTGGAAGAAGGGGAATAAATAAAGATGTAATACATATATCTTGTTAACCAAGTGTGAGGGTCGCACTGGGAGAATATCGGCCCCAGGTCTTGACAGTATGGACCAAGGTCCGTACAAAAAAGACCGAGGGCCGATAATAGGGACTTTAAGCAAACCATGATGAATACGGCGACGAGAACGTGGAAAAACAATAGATCTAATTGACAGAACAATAGCCTAGCACGTGCATTTTAAAACTTTGTACATTTCTTAGCTGTCCTTTGCAAAATAACGATGTGAAATCACCAAAATTTGTGTTGTCTGCGAAGCGAAACCGTGGCAGCAAATTATTTTAAGTTACACTTGGAACTCAACACTACTTTTATATGTTATGTTGAGTTTGAGGTCTGGCACCCTACGAGACGGTAAACACATGCAGCCATTTTCGAAATTATAACTAAATGTAGAAACTCATTTTTTAATCGACGTCTTCCATGGCATTGGCGTTCTGACAGCTTAAAGTCCCTATTCTTCCAGTACGGTCCCGAGCAAGCTTGGTTAAGAAGAGATTTATGATACGACTGGAATTCAAAGGGATACAAGTGCGCTATCATTTGGGACAGTGCCAGGTCCAATACTGAGAGAATATTGACTGGCAATAGAGCATTTTGATTGGTTGATTTTAGTTATTGGCCCTCTGACTGCCCAAGTCGTGTAATAAATAGAATTAACCTTGAAAACTGAAGTGTGGTTTTGTAAATTTTTTTTTCTTTTGCAAATTCTTCTTGATAGTTTCTGGGCTAATTCTCTAGTAAAAAAGACCACTGACTTATACTCTAGCAACTGTTAGCTAACAGCTTTAATGCCTATTTAATGTCCACCACTGCTCCAAAAAGTAACATTAAAATTATGAATGACTGTGATACAGTTGAGCAATTCCTCTGCAGGGTCACTTGGGGGTGACAGAAATATAGTTTCAAACAAAAGTGTCATGCAAAGAAAGGGATTACTTGGTTTGATTTCAACATTGTTATCCATGCTAAATGTTTTCAAAGAAAAATGTTAAAGAATACTTTGCTAACAAAAGGGCACATCTTGAAGAACTGGTCCTAAGTTGGGGTATGTGAACACTACTGGAGATAAACAATCTAACAAACTTAAGCTCCACCATTTTCAGCCATTAAATATAAATTTTAAGGGTGACAGAAGTGCATTCAAAGTTAACAGATGTTTTGCCTTTTTACAACCAAAATACCTCAAACCACAGTTTGTTAACTTGGTCTATAAAGGGTTCAAGGATGTTGACAGATGTAATGAAGCAACACAACACCAATCAGCAGAGTTTCAATTATCTTTATTAGTTCAAATTTACACAGCACTCATTTTGCACTGCTCACTGACTCCCGGTGACTCGAGGAAGCACGCTTTTTCTTCAGCATTTCATGACGCTTCTCCTTAGCCTCCTTAGCTCTCTTGGCTAACAGCTTTGTGTAATCAGCATACTCCTGCTTGGCTTTCTGTGCTCTCATTTTTTTCAGGGCCAAGATTTTTCGCTTACGCTGCAATACCACAGGTGTGACCAGACGCTGGATCTTTGGAGCTTTGGTCCTTGTCTTCTTGCCCTCTTTTTCTGGGAGTGTCCTCCTGATAACATACTGACGTACATCATCTTCCTTGGACAAGTTAAACATCTTCCTGATCTTGCCAACTCTCTTAGGGCCAAGGCGGCGAGGCACAGTGGTGTCTGTAAGTCCAGGAATATCATTCTCACCTTTCTTGATGATGACCAAGTTCAGCACACTGAGCTGAGCATCCACGATGCAGCCACGCACAGACTTGCGCTTACGTTCACCAGTTCTACGTGGCCTGTAGCAGGAGTGGCCCTTTGCAAGCAGAAGACGCACACGGCCATTTGTCATCACTCCCTGCTTCATGGAGAATCCCTGTTTGTCGTTTCCTCCAGAGATTCTGACCACGTATCCCTGTGGAAAGGCAAAGTTGACCATTTAATAACATAGTTATTGTAAAAACCCATGGATAAGCTGCACCGCATATAAGCCACACCCTGAATTTAGCAGCTCAAATTTTGGAAAAAAATTTTTTTGAAAGAAATCAAAAGAAATCCAAAGTTGAGTCTTGAGAAGTCTTCTTCATCCACTGTTGATTGTCCGTAAACTCACTATTAACATTGCAACAGAAAATGCTTCAAAGTCTTACCCACAATTTTAGCACTTTAATATAATGGATATCATTTCTACCAACTTTAACATATGACTGATCTTTTTCTGGTATTTGTTGACAGGAATTTCTTCATTCGACACAGTTTTCTATAGATTTTTGCATTACAACAAGAATGTGCGCAGAACATTTGAAGCTTAGTAACCAAGGATTAGATTGGACGCATTTACGGAAATTGGTGTCAACATTCGTGACACTTTCTTCAAATGTTCCCACATATAAGCTGCACCCCCAATTTCTAGCGATAAGTTTTTGAAAAAGGTGGGGCTTATCCACAGGTTTTTATGGTAATTAAATCCATAACAAAATTCTTGAATGTGATTGGTTATCACCAACCTGTATATGTCATACTTGTGATAGGACAGTGTATGCATCACACCTATGTGTAATTGGATAGTATGGGTCATGTGTGCATGCTGCACATTTCACCAAGAAAACAAAATGTATAACTGATGGCTAGTTTGTTTCTGAAATTTTATCATAGTTTGACTAATTGGTAACAGGACTTCACGTTGTCTACTTCTGTCTGTAATCACACTCATGAGTAACAAACCAGTCAACCGATTTGGTCAATTACTTATAAGATTACAGACTGAGCTGAATTCCACTCAATCCCGTTACCATTACTAATGACAAATTGGTTAAGCGAAAGAGTCAGTTGTATTTAGGTTTACAGACACATCATGCTAGATACCAAAGTATAAAAGGTTTTAAAATTGACTGACCTTCCATTCCTCACCAAGACATTCCGCACTGCACTCAGCTGAAATACGTTTTTCATAGAAGTTTCGTCTAAAAGGGAAAAAAAAATTGGCCCTTTTTTCAGAGACAGAGGCAAAGCTTTAACATGTAGCATGTTGGAATCTGGGTTGCAAGGTTCCAGTTCAACCCCTGGTAGAATTTTTTACCTCTGGAAAGGCACCGGCTGTACATTGTTAATTCTTTTCTCTAACCGAGAGCATAAATGGCTATTAAAAAGTGAACTGCAAGCTGAATGGGGGGTACTGCAATGGTCTAAAAGTCCATCTAGGGGGTAGAACTGATACTCCTGGATGTTTTATACCATGGAAAGTGACCAAAACTCCAGCCATTAACTCTGTAGGAATTATACCAATCTGAATTCAAGTGCAAATTCCATAGTAAATCACTTCACTACAACTGGGTGATTACATTTGAGCAAATATCATTGGCAAGAGTTCCATAAAACCCCATACATTAATTATACATAGAGTGTTGGAAAGAAACCTTTATATTTAGTCTTTATGAAATGAATGCATAATTAATGTATGGGGTTATATGGAACTCTTTCCAATATCATCTGAAGCTGGCTTGCATAAACACCAACTACAAATGCAAGCCAGAATCAACATCAGTGCAATTGCACCTGTATCTCTATATTCCATAGGTCAAATATTTAACAAATACTCACAGCTTTCGTTCATCATCAACTTCAATGAGCTTCTGGCACCCAGTGGCTGGGTAGGAAATGTTGAGCTAAAAGAAAAGGATAGGAAAAGAGATGGTCTCAAAATGATAGCCCACAAATGATTCAACACAACAAGAATAAACACCACGTCAGCTCAACAACTGCACCTCAAATAGTTTATTCTGATCAGCACAAAGAATGAGTGTGACAGTTTTAGCGCTCCAAGTTAAGGATTGGGCATGCAACATGGTCATGGCATAGAAAGGACCTTGAATGCTATACTTTCGAAAATGTCACAGTGCTGGATATTTTAATAGACGAGTTTAAGAGTTAATCAATACTCAACTGGAGAATTTTAAGCCTTAGTATCTTTACACCAGGACAGCCCCTTATCCACTCTGGATTGGTCAAGAGTGCACATGTACTCACAAAACATAAAAAATGTCGATACAATTTTTTTACAGTAAGATACACACAGCATTCATGTAAGCTGCATAAAGAAAACTTCAAAGGAGTAAATCATATACAGAAACGAGCCTTATGCACTGATCCCTTTACTTCAATTCTCAGCCAAATTAACATTTTGTCCCAGTTCTTAACTCATGGGTTCAGTTGTCCGTGCTCATCCCTTGATTCAATCTAAAAAATCTAGAGTCAAGGAAACCCATCTTCCGGAAAATGAGTCATAGGTGGAGAGAAGAATAAGTATAATTTTCATTTTTGTCAAAAGTTCGGTAAAGTGAGTAGTAATTTGTTACTTTTTATACCTTCATCGTTTATCTCCTCTACGTGAGAAGAACCACATAAGAAGCGACGGAAAGAGAACGATAACTGTACTTTGCGTGCAATATGGGTACTCAGCTGAAAAAACAGCTGAAGGGACTGGAATCAATACATGCGCAGTATAATCCAAACAAAGATGGCGGATTGTTTAGACAAGTATTTCTTTCCACGGAGTTAAAGTTCTGTTTGTAGCGTAAAATGTTACACGAACTTTTGTTGGCGTTATCTGGGGATTCTGGTGGTATATTTGTACACAAAAAGTTTGCCGGACTTCAGGTTTGAGCTTGTACATGTTCAATCGACTAAACCTACATAGACCACATGTACATGAATCTTGTAGACCTCTTTGGCGCCAATATTTTCAAAACTTCATAAGCTTATAATTGAGTATTAGCCCACGGAAGGTGTATTTTTTTTTCATTCAAGGTTGCTGCTGATTTGCCATTTATCCATGGGAGTGAAGTTGATCTTCTGAACAGAATCTGCAAACTTGGGACATACTTTCAAAACTTTCAAACTTTTCGGAGAAAGTATTCGGAAGTTTCACCCTATCTGAAGACAATCAAACGATCCAAGGATGGTAAGCAAAAACATGAAACTATTTAATGTCTCTGGTATTTTTTTTAAGAAACTATTTTTTAAGAAACTGTTTTTTTTTTAACGGACAGTATTTCTAATACGTACATTGTCTTGTGTCTAGGAATAACCTCAGCCGGATCCTTTGGTTTGTACATCCAGGCGTTCTGTACTGGTTTGGACCAGGTCCTGGATTCTTACAGGAAAAGTTTGATTGATTTAGAAAAACAGGTACTTGATATCAGTCATACATGGCTGTTATTATTACCTTATGTTTTTATCATTTCATTTAAACATATATCACAAAGTTCTGTTCTCGAAACCTGTGACAATCATTATGTTTTATTTTGTTTTTACCACAGATTCTTAAAGATCCTAAGCTGCCGCTGACGTTTATCGAACACAGTTTAGAACAGGTTTGAAAGTTAAATGATTTTTTGAAGTCTGTTCCATTCTCTGTTATCTCACTATATTTTTGGATAAAGTATTATAGTAGCAGTTTTCACGGAGGTTAAGTTTAGCAATGATCCTATCCTTTGACATTCCTATCTTAGCAGTATGCTGTAAGTTTGTCTCCATGGGCTTGGTAAAATGGCTTAGCTTGCCACAAGTCTCTTATGGCTTAGTGGTAAAGCATACAAGGTATTAATCAGTGGAGTTCTTTTCTCCAAGCATGTCTTTGTCATTCACTGCATAATGTCTTCTTTCATCCTCGAATATGTTTATCTCATCTTTTTAGTACCAAGTTTTGTTTCCTGCCCTGTGGTCAGTAGTAGAGCAGATCCAAGCAAGCAAGGTAGTCATGCTTTTTATTTTGAGTTATTTTACCAAGTGGTTAAATTTTCCAGAATTTGATGTTAGTTTATGATCTTTTTTGATGAGTCTGTGCTAATTTTTTCAAAAGCATGTTGTTTTGAATGAATGTATCATCTTCTCCCAGTGATCAATATTGCATTTTGATACCAGCTTACTTTAGACTTAACAATTATTCGCTGAAGGTGAGGTGAATATCGTCGAATAATCCCCGAGACGAAGTTGAGGGGATTATTCGACAATATTCACCGAACCTGAGGCGAATAATTGTTTTAGTATAATTTCAGAGCTGAACAACAGAGAAATTTCTAAAATCATAACATTTTAGTAACACTTATTCACATTTTAGTTTAACATTTTATATAAACCACGCGGAGCGGTTTAGATAGCGTCATATAAGGAACCGCTCGACCAATCAGATTGCTGGAAACTCTTTGTTCAGCTCTGAAATTATACTAATTACCATTATCAACCACCAGGAAGAATTTGTTAGCCATTGTTATGAATACTGACTTTTGCCTATTTCCTTCCTGTCGACAGGCTTCAGGATGTCAAATTCTGGACATTTTGTACCAGAGCTGTAACTGTGGGATCCCTGATTTGAGAGATGCACTGGAAAGGTAATATCAATTCAAATCACAACTTCTAAGATAAGTATACCACGTAACAGGACTTTTGATGTCTTTTTAGTGTCTTTGAATGGTTGTAACACTCTAGAAGAGGTGGTACAAGTACCAACAAGGGTCATGATGTTTTATTTGTTTGTTTTTAGGGGGAAGCCAAAACAAAAAACAAAACAAAACAAAATAAAAAACAACAACAAAACAAACAAAAAAAAAACCATCCTCATAACGCCCATCTCTGCCTAGAAGGATATGATAATCAGGGCTGATTTAAAAAGGGAAAATCTGTGCTACAACTAATTGAACATTGCACAAAGAGTTTTAAATATATAATTGTGATTAGCTATGCTTGTTAATTAACTTTGGGTTATGTGGGTTTTCTCTCAGAATTCTCTTTGTTTGTCATGGTGTAATGTATCAACAACTCAGTGCATGGTGTCTCCATGGGATTCACATTGATAAGCACAATGAGTTTTTCATCAAGGAAGTTACGTCAGAAGATGATCATACAACGAACATACCAGACGATGGCACCAGCAGTGATCTGGGGATACCTGGTATAACAGGGAGGCAACTTGCTGAAATACTGGTAAGGACGGGGTTATAAAGAGGAATGTGCTTTAATGTTTAATAACTTCTAGAGAGTGATCATCATATAGTTTCTTAAGACAATATCTTTATAAAGTACCCAACAAAAAAGTAAGGAGGATTGCTATGTGGTGCCATCTTGATATTACATGACCTTTATGTTGAAGACTAATTTCGAAAGTTATACACAACATAGGTGATATACATAATAAGCACATATGGAGGCATCCTCGGAGACCCAGGGGCTGAGTCGATTTCAAGTTAGGGCATGAAGAGCCCCTGGGGACATTGTCTTACAAGACTAGTTCCAAACGGTCGCAGTCGTTCTGCCATCTGATTGGTGCCAGAAAATCTTTGTGTTTTTCTGCCCAATCAGAGTGAAGTGTGCTTTAGAGTCCTTCCGTGTGTTTTAACACAGACATGTACTAGTAGCTCAGTTACTCGCTATGTTTGTTTGGACCGTGCGACGGAGAATTGCTTGAGGTGAAAAGTTTCAGTCTGGGCACACAATGTAAGAGAAATCGATCAGATTGTCTGTGAAAATCTTACCAGAAATTATACTGAATACTTTCGCAGGTATCACTAGAGAACATGTTTTAAAGTTTGCGAGGTTTGTATACAACACAATGGTTGCAGTCATTGATATGTCACTTTAAACGTTAAATGAGATTTAAGCTTAAATCTTTCTAGATTTTTGCATAATTTGCTATGATTGAAACTTTGGCATTTCGTCACACGGGCCACGCAGGTATGTCGAGCAACGGGCGCTTTCGCCTACTTAGCTTTCTGCTTTCTGTGTGCGCCAAAATCTAATCTTAGTTGTAAAGTTGTTCACAATACGGCCAAGGTTGCAGAGAACGTTAAGTTCGTGAACGACCTCCAGCAAGTGCTAAGAGAAAGCTTAGCTGTGTTTCCGCTTAGCTAATTAAAATCTGAACAAAAACTTATTAACGAGAACATCGTGGGAAGGAGAGATTTTTTCGGGCAGTTACCAAAGTGGTTTGGAACGAGTTTAATCTTTCAACTGCTGTCTGGAGTGTTGAAATTCTTGAGCTAGGAAGGCCATGGATTCTCTTCTAGTCCCTTGGTCATTGTCATTTCACCTCTTCTGTCAATTGTTGAAGACCAAGTTAAATACGTTTGATCATTGGGAATCGTTCCGATGCTGTTTTCAATGGGAAAACAAAACCAAAGACCAAGAAATATTGGATGGAAAGGGCAGGTTTGCTTTATTGCAAATGTCAGCTTAGTAGTACAGGGTCAT